CTGCATGCCAAGCAGAGGCTCTGCCACTGAGCCACAGCCCCACTTCGTGGCTCTCCAGGGTCTCAGGCGGAGGTCTTTCCCATCCCCTCCTGCCTGGCCCTTTTAACTGGAGATGCCGGGGATTGAACCTGGGACCTTCTGCATGCCAAGCAGAGGCTCTGCCACTGAGCCACAGCCCCACTTCGTGGCTCTCCAGGGTCTCAGGCAGAGGTCTTTCCCATCACCTCCTGCCTGGCCCTTTTAACTGGAGAGGCCGGGGACTGAACCTGGGACCTTCCACATGCCAAGCAGAGGCTCTGCCACTGAGCTACAGCCCCACTTCATGGCTCTCCAGGGTCTCAGGCGGAGGTCTTCCCCATCCCCTCCTGCCTGGTCCGTTTAACTGGAGATGCCGGGGACTGAACCTGGGACCTTCTGCATGCCAAGCAGAGGCTCTGCCACTGAGCTACAGCCCCACTTCATGGCTCTCCAGGGTCTCAGGCGGAGGTCTTCCCCATTCCCTCCTGCCTGGTCCGTTTAACTGGAGATGCCGGGGACTGAACCTGGGACCTTCTGCATGCCAAGCAGATGTTCCGCCATGGAGCCATGACCCCTTTCTGTGAAGTGAGACTACATGGTTGTTTTTATGCTTCCCAAGGTCTGGAATTCCCTTCCACTAGAACTGGGGGCAACGCCATCCCTAAAAGCGTTCTGGAGCCAGCCGAAACGGTCACGAGGAAGAGGGGCCGCGTTTCTTTGACTCTGAACTCTTCTGGGGCTTTTACAATAATTGCAGTTGGTTTTTGTTACGGTTTCTGTTGTTCCACACTTAGACTTTGGATTTTTTTTAAAAATCCCTGTTGGCCAAGGAGTGGCTTCCAAGTTTCTTAAGGAAACGAAACCTTTCGCTGGATCGTTCCCTCAGAGAGGGCTGCTGTTGCGTGTCCAATGGTTTAAGGTTTCGTTATCTGGGAATACGAAGCTCAGTGCAGTTTTCGGTTTGCGGAGTTGCAAATTTAAGATACAGTGTATAGGGATGAGGCCGGAACGAGGCCGGCTGCGTCGTGACGACAGGCGGAGAGCAAAGGACACGGACCGCGACGTGCCAAGAATCCTTCTTGTGCTCTAACTTTGTAACAGAACGAGGACATCTGGTGAACCTCGGAGTGCTCCAAAAAACTCTGATATACAGAGGCACGCTTTTTGCCCCGAATCACAAACAATCTGAGCTATTCCCTACTCTTGCTTCCAAGGAGACTGACTTTTCTTTTCTTTTTTGGAGCCCTCGGAGAGGAGTTGTTCCACACTTAGACTTTGGATTTTTTTTAAAAATCCCTGTTGGCCAAGGAGTGGCTTCCAAGTTTCTTAAGGAAACGAAACCTTTCGCTGGATCGTTCCCTCAGAGAGGGCTGCTGTTGCGTGTCCAATGGTTTAAGGTTTCGTTATCTGGGAATACGAAGCTCAGTGCAGTTTTCGGTTTGCGGAGTTGCAAATTTAAGATACAGTGTATAGGGATGAGGCCGGAACGAGGCCGGCTGCGTCGTGACGACAGGCGGAGAGCAAAGGACACGGACCGCGACGTGCCAAGAATCCTTCTTGTGCTCTAACTTTGTAACAGAACGAGGACATCTGGTGAACCTCGGAGTGCTCCAAAAAACTCTGATATACAGAGGCACGCTTTTTGCCCCGAATCACAAACAATCTGAGCTATTCCCTACTCTTGCTTCCAAGGAGACTGACTTTTCTTTTCTTTTTTGGAGCCCTCGGAGAGGATTTTTTTATTATTTTTTATCAAACTACAAAACTACTACAGGAAAAAAGGGAAGGGGGGGACTACATATATAGGATAAAGCAAAAGAACCCACTACTAACTAAAAACCCAAGAGAGATCTTCACTAGCTTAGTTACAACAAATCTTCACTTCACTTAGATTATTATAAACTGAGTCAAACATTTATATTGGAGACTGACTTTTCAAGTACGCGACTCAGCAGAGATCCCTCCTCCTGTTATCTCTGTAAGAGTTACTGATCCGAACAGGCATCCTGGTTGGAAAGGAGCCGACAACTCGTACAGAGACACAGCAGGCAGGCTCCTCGGCTGGCAGGGACTGATTGGCTGCAGAGTCTATTTCTGGGGGCTGAGGGGATGTATTTGCCTGTGGGCCACCCGGGCCCGTAGCTACTGTGGGGCATTTCAGGGCGCCGCCCCCTCAAATGTGAGGCACGCCCCCACCACAGCTGCTGCCCCACTCTCCCCTCCCTCCTCCCGTGACATTAAAACGGCCCTCCAGTTGATTGGCGGGAGCATGTGGCCCGCCGATCAGCTGGAGGCCTCTTTAAATCTCGACCGGCCACCACATGCCAATGAGGAAGAAAAGCAGAAGCGGTCAGCCGACCCTGGGGACTTTGATGAAGACACTAAAAACTCCATCTGCCAGCTGTGTGTGCATGCCCCTAATTTGTTGGTCAATTTTGTGAGCTGCCTCAAGGCCCGTAGACAATGAAAAAACAGAGTTTAACCCCCCCTTTTAATTAAATAAATGAAGAAGAAGGGGGGGGGGAGATTGGATTTATACCCCACCCTTCACTACCCAAAAGAGTCTCAGAGCAGCTTACAATCTCCTTTCCCTTCCCCTCCCCACAACAGATACCCTGTGAGGTACGCGGGGCTGAGAGAGCTCCTTCCAGAACTGTCCTTGAGAGAACAGCTCTGAGAGAACTTGTGACTGACCCAAGGTCACTCAGCTGGCTGCATGGGGGAGGAGTGGGGAATCCAGGGGTCATTTCCTGCAGGAGCGCACAGGAGCGGAGCTCCGGCACGAAAGAGTCCAGGGGGCGGGCACACGCAACAAGCCCCACCCCCTGCTCCCAGCAGCCCTCAGTCAGAGCAAGAAACAGCCAGGTAAGTTACAGAGACCCCCCCCAGGCCCCCCGGTCCAAAACAGTCCAGTGGCACCTTTAAGACCAAGTTTTATTCAGGTACAAGCTCTCCCTCCTCTGCAAGGACAGATCTGCACGTCCCCCTCCCATAGCTAGCAATCCAAAACAATCCAGTGGAGCCTGAGCGGTGGGTGTTGC